TACCACAATTCTAACAAATGTTCTCTGTCGAACCTGCACCTTCTCTATGCTTTAAGTTCTCTGACTATATCGCTTACTCCGACCGATGAAAATTAACACGGTGATGTCCTACGAAAAGTAGCAGTTCACCCCTTTCGCTTACCATAGGGACGAAGAATTCTTCGATGCCAAAGTTAACGGAGAGTTCTTCTATGCTAAKGTCAATAGTAGAATAGAAAAAATTGCATATTAATTTTGCTTTATTTATGAAAATACATGAATGAAATTCGTTACGAAAAAGGGGGAGCGAAGGGGACCGTAGCCCCGCGTGCAACGTCTTGGGGGTGGAAAAACGATCTTCGCTGTTTTTTAATATTCAGAAAAATACTTCAACAAATTATTTTACAAAATTCATTACAAAAGATAAAGAGTTGTACACTCCCAATATAATAATCTAAATAACAACTTTGAATTTGTCTTATATCTTTCYTAGAAATAGTGATAGAACTTAAAGATGCACTTGTCTAGCTTTGATCGCTGCAAAATCACATATATCATTGTAATTTAAAGTAGAAGAAGTTTCACATTCTGTTGAGAGAATCGCAAAATTGGACAGTCTACTCTGACTCAGGGTCTAAAATGAGGTTTTTCTATGGCTTTTAATAAGATGTTTTGTAAATTTACTATCAATTTTCTCAAAAACAGTATTCATAACTTCAGAAATTGCGTGGCTTCTAGTTCCTAAATTTTATATACTTAATATCTAAGATATTTTGCAAAAATTCACTTTTGTTTGAACCAATTCATGAAACTTGTAGGTAGGTAGATAAAGGGGGGGGCAACATGCTTGCCTCCGGGCGCCCGAAGTTGTAGCTACGCCACTGCAAACGCCTTTTCGAAAATATTAATATTATTTCTTTATTCCAAGTTTAAGCACAAAATTAAACTAATTTTTAATTAAAATAGCATCTCACCTAAACACAAATTTTCTGCAAATTTTCTTCAAATGATTGACGATTTGGCGAAACAATGAAAATATTTACTTATACATTTTATTTCATCAACTTGTATTTGTTGTTTACATATTGTATTGTATCGTTTTTCATCAATTTACTTGATGGTAAATATGAACGCAGTAGAATTTAGCCGCATAGCTTACCTTTATACATTACCTAGTATCGAAGAATTCTACATCGAATTTTCTTCAAAGCATTCTTCGAAGAAAAATATAAGCGGTGAACCATTATCCCGTTGGCATGAAAATACATACATATGTAAATATATCTATGCCTGCTCCTTATGATACTCCCAACAACAGGATTGTGATATTTTCTTGCTTCATGTTAGCTTTCAACCA